CGTATAGCCCTTGAAATGACGGAGTGTTCCCAGCCTAGTTTTCCTTCTTAACCCTTCCTTGCTTACCCTATCTGGAGCCACCGTGCCAGAAACGCCATCTGTCGCCTCCGACGCCGCCCGAAAGGATGATGAATTTTAAAATTCCATCGATTGTTTACAAGACTTTGTTGAAGTAGGGTATTCTCAGCCGGTTCAGGTTCTTTCTACTTAGTATACTCGAGATGATTTTGAGCACCCTTTTAGCTCATGGCTTCTATGAAACTGCCATGAAAGAAACATAAGAGTTGACGGATTGAGCAAGAGAGAAAAGTCGGGACTTTGTTTTAAACCAACAAGCTTTGCTGTCAATGTCGCTCGCTTCACTTGGCCATCTAGAGCTGGAATGGCTAATTCTTGAAAGGTTCGCCCAACTTTGACTACTTCCGCTTGCAAGTCAGCTATACTGCCTCTTATTGGATATTTCAGCTGGGCTTTCTACAGGTCGGTTATCTGGAAATTACTCGTGGCTTTGCAACCTACTCTGCTTTTCTCTTTCCCATCGTAATATTTACTTGCTGGGAAAAGCAGAACAGCCTGGCGCACCTTCACTTACCATTTGTGTACAATGATTTACTTAGTTCATCCTCTCTACCGTGTTACTATCCTTCTTCTCGTCGTCAGTGAACAACACCTTGGCAATAAAAACTGGAACACCAATAGAGCATTCAGGTTGACCACTTATCAACCGTCCGTAGATAACGGTCTTGTGTTCAAAACAATAGCTCCTTTTGAATCACCTGTACAGAGTTGGATCACGCCCTGCTTCGTCCTCTTGTTGCAGCTCCCCCTTCAGCAGCTGGCAAGAACATTCACCGCTATTTAACTCACTGGCCGTCAACGTGGTTTATTAGCGGTAAATGTTTAAACAACTTGCGAACGCAAAACAAACCCGTCGACCGGTGGAAAACGGGTTCCAAATCTAAAATACAGGAATTTCAGAGTTTGGCTATCTCCGAAAACGAGGCCGTGGCCCAATTTATGTTGGATCTCACATCCACCCGTTCTGTGATTCCCCCGAAGAAGGTGGCCCGACGGGGATGATTACCTAAACGACGCCTTACTCGCAGTCTCAGTACTGAGCGCGATAGTGGTGGCTAAGTAATGCGCANTCGGATGTCAGGGACAAGTTAGCCTTGTCACCGAACATGTTATTACTATTAGAGGAGAAAACAGGGATACCCTCCCACTGCAGCTATGCTGAAAAGTTCACTAGAAAATGGAAACACGTGAACTATCTAGCTGACGTATTCTGGAAAAGGTGGATGAAGGAATACCTACCCACATTACAAGTCAGACAGAAGTGGCTACTGAAGACTCGTACCTGAAAGAAGGTGATGTAGTGCTGGTGGTTAGTGATGGGGTACAAAGGGAACAGTGGCCGTTAGGCATTGTCACTTCATGTGAGGTTAGCTCAGACGGAATCGTGCGAATGGCTTCCGTGAAAACAGCAACTGGAACTATACGCCGTGACATCGGACGCTTGTGCGGCTTGAGGGGTGCTGAGTAGAGTGTAGGCTTCTTGGGAAACTTGGTGTGAGGCATGGAAAACGTCTGATGCCGAGAATTCCCATAGAGGTCAGCGTTCTCTCTCCCCCTAGACCCGTCATAGCCTAGAGCCCTACTTGAACGTATCCCCGTATCACTTTGCAACGCATCGCTTGGAGAAATTTGGTGGCCGGTGTAGCGCACAAAACGTTTGAAAATTTCTCCCACCCAATCCTGCCTGCTTTTCATTGACATTTTATTATTATCGCATCAGCCCGTCTCTATCCCATCCATTAAGACATTGCGTTGCACAAACTATGAACATGTTCTTGGTTCCTCAAATGAACCGTATTATCACTTGTTTAAGTTCACATTTTTGGCACTTTTCGAACTGGTTTCTCACGCTTGATACTCGTCTCCGTGTTCGTCGTGGCTCTAACTGTCGGTCGATAACTGTCAAGGTTTGTTGTACATTAATTGATTTATTGATAATTTGTCATACAGTACAGCACATTTTCGTCGGGATCACTTTCGTTTTGAATTCGGATCCATTCTTCGGTGCTCGTTGCTCGACTTATCGATTTTGTCGCTTACAGTGAGTCCACCAAAAATTTCGAGATGTGGAACAGAAACCTTTGCAATGTTTGCGTTACTCCCTGGTACTTTCTGCTTTATTAATTTTGTGAAGCTGCACAAGTAAATTTCGAGAACAAATACATTCATTGTAGGGCTGAGGTCGAGCCAGTTTAACCACAGTCGTGTAGCGGAAGGACGGTGACCACCAAGGCAAACGCCTGAACTGACCGGGTTCTAAGATAGTGGAACACCAATGCTCCTCTCTCGGGCTCCCTTTCATCTAAGGTCGTATATACAGGTACACGAGGAATTCGCATTTCGATTCAAGGAAACCATTTCCAGTTTGTTTCAAAACGATTCGTGGTATCAAAATATTCGATACTGAAATCCTCTACTACTTTATGGGTTATTAATACGCGCAACTTACAAAAACATTTTACATCTAAGACCTCCTCTTGAACTACTTGGGCAGCGTTGATCGAACCCCCTATCCACGTCCTCACTATCGGATTCAGCATCCTAACATATCAACCGTCGTTCACTCAGCATCATTGGCGAACGAAACCCAGACAGGTGGAACCAAGTTACTATGCTGGCAGTGGGAATGATAAAGATTCCGCCATTGTTACTTGTTCTGTTCATTCATACAGCTTCTCTGGCTCCTATAAATTTCGAGAACAAATACATTCATTGTAGGGCTGAGGTCGAGCCAGTTTAACCACAGTCGTGTAGCGGAAGGACGGTGACCACCAAGGCAAACGCCTGAACTGACCGGGTTCTAAGATAGTGGAACACCAATGCTCCTCTCTCGGGCTCCCTTTCATCTAAGGTCGTATATACAGGTACACGAGGAATTCGCATTTCGATTCAAGGAAACCATTTCCAGTTTGTTTCAAAATGATTCGTGGTATCAAAATATTCGATACTGAAATCCTCTACTACTTTATGGGTTATTAATACGCGCAACTTACAAAAACATTTTACATCTAAGACCTCCTCTTGAACTACTTGGGCAGCGTTGATCGAACCCCCTATCCACGTCCTCACTATCGGATTCAGCATCCTAACATATCAACCGTCGTTCACTCAGCATCATTGGCGAACGAAACCCAGACAGGTGGAACCAAGTTACTATGCTGGCAGTGGGAATGATAAAGATTCCGCCATTGTTACTTGTTCTGTTCATTCATACAGCTTCTCTGGCTCCTATTTGTTTAGCAACTTCCTTGTCATCTGCGGGCGGCGCTATCTCCACCATCATCTATACAGCACTCTTGCCATGTGTAAGGAGTTCAAAATAGAAAGTGAATTCCGTCGTATCAGAGGGGTCGTCGCAACTCAAACGGGCTCCTCATTCACAGATGACTACTGAAAAGGGAGAGAGATGCTAATATGCATCCACTTCTTAAGCGTCATTTCTCCCCTAGATTAATACCCAACCTTTCGCTACCCTGCATTATTAATCACAAGATGTACCAGCCTGAGACGTTTGAGTCTTCGGTGTGAGTGTTCACTTATAATGCTGATATTTACCATTTGTTCCTGGATCACTGTTCTAGAAACCGCTTCCAGCTTTCATTCGTTTCAGTTGCGAAAACAGTTCACTTCACTCTTCTATTTTGCGGGCAGAGAAACTGCGCGACAAGAACTCATTGCTCGCCTTCCACACGTGTCTTGCATTAATCGGATCCAAGTCTGTCCAGACGAACGGCGTGGCGCTGAGCTAGATTACTTAAAACGTTATGGCGCAGTCTGGCGGTCCTCGGGAGGTGCACCAATAGACACTGGTCCTGGACCTGTTGATGATAAGAACGCCATTACCATGAGTCCGGATTTCGCACAAGAGCATCCAGTGTTTGTCAAGCTGTGCAGTAAATGGGGCGTACCAGATGATGGGGAATCCAAGGTAATGAGACCAGACAATTTTTGCAGTTTTTTCCTCGTCGATCTTTGCTGTCTGAATCAGTTGGGGCGCGCACAGAGTTGTGCTGGTGCACGAATTCACTAGCTTTTTCTACTTGCTTTTACATCTATATGCTTATTTGGTTAATGACAGTGTTCGTAGCCAGGACCCCTATGAGTGTGTATATTATCCACTTAACTGTTCGCCCATGTCACTCTGCCTCGCTGTCTTCTATGGGGAAGGGGAGCCAACATGACTAACTGCACCTAGTAGCCGAGATTTTCCACTACTGTACTAAATTTTTGCCTCTCCAAATGAGAGACAAGCTTTCTTTATAAATGGCACAATGTAACACACGGAAGACTCACGTTTCTGGTTTGAATGGCCTTTCGTCTAGTAGTTCCGCATCCAGGCGAGGAGTACGGGATTCGAATCTTGCTTTTATTGGAGCTAACAAGTAATGTGTTTGTCTCCACCCTGCTCCGTCATCATTATGGATAGCGAAACAGCGGTTCTCAACACCTCGTTAGCACATATCCGTAATTTCTTTGAAAATTTTCTGTGGCAGTTGCCTTCACTTCCAGGCACTCATTCAGACCAAATTAAATAAAAAAAATAACAGGGAAGTCAGTACTATCCATTGGAGGCCGTCTTACCACGTCTCAAATCAAGCACAGAGATTTTCACATGAACCCCGTATGAAAGAAGGGCCTACCCAAACATTGTAATTACCTTCATACTCCAGGTCAAAGGCTAGCAATCTCTGTGCTTGCACAACTCCAAATTAGGTACGGGAAACAACACTGTTTTCCGCAGTCGGTGATTTGACGGGCGCAATGTGTGACCAAACCACCGTATTTCCTGGTACTGGATACGTTCGTCGATTGGAGTCCCTGTTTCACAACCGAGCACTCGTCTTCTGATTTTGGATTTGCGGATTCGTAGGCCTCAGCTTACGGTGGCCATAGTCCTGAAACACAATGGTCGCGTCTCCTAATCATGAAACAAAATGGCCCGTACCGTAGCCTGTTGTACACGCCCATTGAAGTCCAGCGATACGTTCCTTTGTCGCCACGTTATCAAATGTGATCCGAACCTCAGGAATTCGTGTGCTGACCTCACTTGTCAGTCGGTCATCTGGACTTGTAAAGTTTTCATGACGGGCGAAATCAGTGCCTCTTCTTGAATTGCAACTGATGGCATTCCAAAAGCGTGACTTTACATTTTGTAGAAGCAAAGTTCATGCTTTAGTAATCCATCCAAGAACGTTTGTGCCTTCTGGTCCTCCTCGAAGACGGGGACTGGACGATGTGGTCTGTGCATTCCATAGGTCAGCAATTATTTATACGTCAGAATTTTCAAAACGGGCTCGTTTCGTTTATCACGAAATTGCATAGATTGTTGGCATTTCTGTCGGGGCAACACCTTTGTCGGCAGGCCTCCTACTGACTCTCACATGCCGAGAGTCTGTGGATACAACGAACGTATGTGCACAAAGTTCCTGGACGCTCTTTGCTGTGCAAGTGTGTAAAGGAGAACCGGCTAGTCAAGGGTTAAAAGCGCCTTGGAAATCCAGGGACATCAAAGTTGTGGGTCGCGTGCGTTGCTCTGGCGCCTGACAGAGTGTGAAGGTCTAGTCAATCTCCAGGAAGCGAAAATTTCGCTTGCTGCTCAAGACTCAATGCCTCATGGTTGTCATGAGACAACAGAGGGCAAGTGTAGCTATGAATCTCTTTACAGCTCTGGAGTCAGTCGATCCCCGTTGTTGCCACATTCACCACGGCCCCCTATTTTGGAATTGGGCACTGTTATTGTTTCATTGCACTTGTTCGAGCTAATCTCATTTCCCCATTTAGATAGAAATGAATCAGGAACTCCTAACCTGGGAACTAACCCCCATCCCCGTACAACGCGGTAGGTGGTCATCCGGACCAAGAGCATAGTGACATTTAGGAGAAAATATATACTCATAAGCCTTCGAAGCCAAAAGAGGTTCCAAGTTCACCGTCCAAAGTTCCAATGCAACCGGTGAGTTCGACTCAATTGCTGTAAGTAGTCGCCAGAATAGCAGTTCAAGCGGTCGACGCGTCTTTCTTCAGTAAAGATGATCAAGACAATTTTAACCTTGGTGATTTCACTCACAGACGTTTTTAATGGACCCATCGGACCGAAATAATATTTGGATATTTCGACATCGTTTGACACTTCCCTGTCCACCAGACCTTCACGCTCGGCGTGCCCACGAATCTCCAATCGACATCTGATACTTCGCTGAATTGAACGGCATTCGAGACCGGTCGGAACACTTCTCAAAGATTAAGGCAGTGTCACTGTTCCCACTGACACTAGTGCTCGAATTGGCATGCTCATCTGCGATTTCAGTGATCCACCTAGTCTTATATGCTTTCTAACACCCGTTCACTGGAGTGCAAACCTTTGGTTCCTTTAGCGCCAGTGTGACCTCAGCTTCCTCTTCCAAATTAGAGTCTACTATACGGCGCAGCGCACGTTTTCCGGAGAAGCGTTCCTCAGGACCACTGGATCAGAAACGTTTTGCTACTTCAGGTAGTTTTGGAGAGACAGCATTCGCCCCCACGAACAAGCTCGTCATACTCCATTGCTTAACTAATCCCTGTGACAAAAAGCGCTCGGAGTCCCACTATTTCGGATGTCCTTATAAGTTACGGTTAGCGACTAAGTCGCGTGTACCTCCTAGGGTTTTACGTCGTGCGCTCGTAACGTTGGACATGTGCTATCTACCGTTGGTCTCCAAGGTTATTACTAACTTGGCGCGATACTGCTGCCACATGAACTCTACCTTTCCCCGGCTGCTTCCCGAGATAGCTCAGCTGTTAAGTTGTGAAGATACTAACCATGAGGTTTGTGGTTTGAGTTTGGCCCTAGCTTTTTGATAGGTCCTACCTAGACTTGAGCAACTTAGCGAAATCTCAGTCCTCGTGCTCCCTTCGAGTCGCGCGGCAGCTGGGCGCTAAAACGGTGTCACAGCTGAAAAAAATGTTCACCGTATGTGAGGCTACGATTTTTTCTTTTCAGTTTGTAGAATCGCAACCCTTCAACGCTGCATATCTAAAACTCATTCAGTGGTTAAACTGAAGCCAGTGAACATGAAAGGGTAGCGGATAACTAAAGTCCAAATACAAGCACTGTTCTGATCACATCTATGGAAATAAAAACCCGTTGTTTTGTCTGCTCTAAGGGATTTGCATGTAATGTTTGTATCCGTTCCAGCGCAAATCGGAACAACTCATACCATTTACTTCCTTTAGACTTATTTTTTCATTTACTGTTTTCTTACTGTTCTATTTAGTTGATTACCCGATCGCTTAAGGAAGGGCTCATGAACATCACATTCGTGTTAGAAGACCCAGACAATAAAAATGTATCTCCCACACTCCTGTCCTCACAATCGCCCAAATTTGTGAATCAGAAAGAACTAACTCGCCGCATTCCCGGACGAATGACTGTTGGTCACCTGAGAATGATGGTACGTCGCTTATTCAAAATTCCTGCCAAATCCTCCTTCGATCTGGTTGCTCAAGGTGAACGCCATCGGAAAATTAATACGGAAGTTACCTTGGATTCGGACACACGCGAATTTGGATTCTATTGTTTGGAAGACGGCGATAAGATATATGTGCGAATCCACGCTTAACTATTCACGTTGTAACTTCTTGTTGTGGCGCTTTATCTCACCATCTTTCGGGTCTCACAAGACAACCGCCTTTCTGGGCCCAACTTTCCTCGGTGTTACTATACGAAATCGGCCCGGTCGAATAGAATCGGTTGTATTTCCCCGTGCCACTTTACCTGCAATCTCTACTTGCACATTCAGTACATGACACTCGTCCTTATGTTGTTTCCAAACATGCTAACCTTGATTCTGTCAATGCTGAAGAGATAGACCCATGTTGCAGTTGTTTTCGCGTTTTTATGTTGTTTGTGTGCCATACAACTGGTTGCTGTGTACTTTCTTAGACAAAAGGTACCTTGGAGCCCCGGGTAGGATCCGTCTGTGATATGGATGCCAAGAAAGAGTACAGTGGATAATTTCGTTGGGTGGTTGTTATTCTTTGCTTGCTTCAAGTGACCCTTTTTCATCGAAGAAGGAATCACAAGCTCACCATCCACAGTGCTACGTTAGTATCTTCAAGAAGGCACATCCTGAAGGAAATTCTAACAGTGAGTGAAATGCCTAAGAGCCCAACAATACTCGTTTTCCGAGTGAGCCTATGGATGCGGTTGCACTAGCCTCTGCGATACAAATACGTAGGCAGTAAGAAATTCTCTACAAGCGGACAGCATTCATAAATCTATGGGTTTACCGATGCCGTAGTTCCCAGAAGGAAAACATGTCGCAGAGACTGGACCTAAAAGCTGTGCACTCCGATTCCGCAATGGTTGACCATAACCGCTGGTACATTATTTATTATTATTATTATTATTATTAAAAATCCTAGTACAGTTCTAGCCAAGACATCTGAATCCAAACATCCAGTTCTTATGCCCCGCTTCCTCGAGCTGAGCCAACATCCGCACCTAATTTGATCAGACTGTTGAGCCGGGAAAGGTTGCGCAAAATCTCTCACGCCTGCTGGGTTGCTGGTCAGACTATTAAGTCAAACCCTGGACTGCGGCTGCTCGAATAACCTGCATGTCACTGCCTTTTATGTCAGGCTTTCGAGTCAAAGATTCCGTATACCGTATCTCAAACGAACCTGCTTAGCGGACTTGAGCAGCCGGAATGTATCACCTTGCAGATCTTTGTTGGCCGACCCTTTCGGCAAATCCTCCCAACTATGCCGCCTCAGCTCAATTAGTTGACTGTTGTTCCGCGTCTAAATTTCATCCTTTTAAATCCTACTGATCTCTTTCATATTGAGTCTTCCACTGTTTGTGCCCTATGTCCACTTGGGCAACAGGCAACTCTTGCTCTCATTTACTGGACTGGATTCCGATAACCAGCTTTTCGGCTAGGTGGACGGCGTGCGTTTATCGTGTCAACATTAGGTCGGACAGACAGCAGCTCAGGAAGTGCATTTACCAGGATCTGTCACAATTGTTCCATTCAATAAAAAACACGGATGTTATGATTCCCACAAGTTATGTGAACGCGCATTTCGGTCAACTAAGCCTGGAACAATCGGGAGCACACATATCAGTTCGCTTTCCCCTTCGGACCAAATATGTTGACGTAGATCTATTCGATTCGGCATAAAGGGGGTTCTGTATTTCAACGATGTCGAGTTGAGCTTACGCGAACGCTGTCAGAGTTGTTCAGATACTGTGACAATGAAGAACATCTGTGAGGCAAACAGAAAATACCAAGCCAGTCTGCATTACTAGCCTTTGTGTCCGCCTGTCCAGACGATCTGAGTCAACTCGGTGAGTGCTTTATTTCACCACAGCAATTAAAAATGGTTGTTCAAACACCGCTAGAAAGGGCCGTTAACATCGACAACGCTAAGACATTCATACAGCCGCACACCGATCGGTAATTGGCCTCTGAATGAAGCCTCGTGTGTAAAATTCGACCGTTCGATCCCTACTAACGCAGGCGTGAAATGGCCACCTAACTGTCGGTTTTGGAATACTCGGAATTTGACCGCTGATGCTCAAGGATAATACTCAAGGTACGTTGAAACGACAGCGCGTCCAATTATGGTGTCAGGTATTTTTAGTATAGCATTTTGCACCTCCAAACTGCTCCAGTGGCTGCAACTTGTCCTCGATAGACCGGACTCCGAACTGCTTGTCACCACTGTTTTACTTACGATAGCGCATTCGCACCGGAGAGCAGTTGAAAATCTGACTCACAAAAGTCAAGGCCGGCGTTCAACTACTTGGTCTGCAGGTGTTCTATAAGGTCAAACAGTGAAACTGAAACAAGTAACGTTGTGCTCGTACATTGCTGGCAATCGTGCCGCGTGAGCAGCAACGATCCTAGATATCAATGGAGCCAACTCAGGAAGGAGGAAGTCGCCGTGAAATAACTTAAGTTTTTTTTTTGGGGGGGGGGGTCGTCGACGGATCAACGTGCGTTCACCTGTGGAACATAACTGGATAAACAATTCCAATACGGCCGTTTTGCTGTTGTCTTTTGCTCAGTCTTTACAGGTCAGAACCACTAGCTGGGTCCGCTAGCTTTCAACGGAGCAATCGAATGAATATCTGAGTTGAGTGATGTCATCCTGGTTACCGACTTCATCGCTCAAATTCTATAAAGTGTTCATTTTCCATCGTCGAGAAACTGAGTGAGTGAGAACTGAGTGTAACCTGTAGGATTGGGCTCCTGTTCTGTATTCCCATAAGGGAGGCGTCCGGCCGTCGGACGACTAGACTTAAACATGCGTAACGTTGCTCAGTCTGGCGAAGGGTGAATTCTTTGCTCAGCATCCATTGTACGTGTAAGGAGTAAAAGCTTCAGTTATCATAGTACATTTTAGCTGGATGTCAACTATGTATGGCCTTGACACATCACTTCCCTAGTGAAAACGCGCTTGTGGGTTATTCAGTCTTCAAATTTGGATAGATTGCCCAGAAGGGACTCAATGCAGAGTCAGACAAATCGCTTGGTTTTGGGGATCGGGAATCATGTATGCAATTCGAAGGCTGCCATCCAGTTGACGTCCAAGATCTTGAGGTATCTTATTGTGCTGTATGTAGGATTAAACAGCTCAGGTAGTCGAATGGTAAATTCTAAGCACTTCTCATATGTTTAAGGACATTTCTAAATGTTTGGGTGTAAAGTTGTGTCACAAAGGCAACTCAAGTTTGATTTCTCCAAACCACCAACAAGCAATGGAGCGAGATGGTCAAGAGTCCTGCTCGTTGAGGAACCACCACACTCTTCCTGTGACGCAAATGTGGAATTAATGTGTATAAAAGGAGGCTTTTCACCTGCAACTTCTTATGCGTTCAAGTTATGCATTAACTTGGGACACGTTTTGCCTAATATCCTGAAAAGGAAGTTGAAAAGTGAGTTTTTCAAAATTAAAATAAACCACAATCAATGAGTGGGATATCTTGTGCGGAGCAATTTCAGTGGCAACTCGACGAGCGCTCATGTGATGCGGCCTAAAATGGGAAGGTGAGGAATGCACAAACACGACGGCTCAGATGTCATGTCATTTGTGGCAGGTTTGGGTAATTGATGTCTATAAAGACAGGTCACGTGGCCGTCTTGACCACCCAAAGCGATTGTCGCCAGACTTATATTCATCAGACTGATCCAGCGGCACAGCGATACTCTAGAACCGCTGTAATCATTCATAGCAAAACCGCTCTAGAGATGGTATTCTCTCTTGAGTGCCGACTACTTTCACTTGCGAGTAGTATATCCAGAAGTTAATTTAATCGTGAAAACCAATGCAATTATCTCGAGTCACTCGCTGCAGCAAGAGGCAAAAATGCGTTCAAGAAAGGCAAATAACGGAGTGAAACGTGGAAGTCCTGTCTAGAAATAAAGTATCCCTCTTCTGTGTCGTCCTGCGTATGCATGGCGTTCCAGAAATGTTGCAGTCTACAAGCCCCCACCTAGAAATCCATGATTTCCACTTTAAAATAAGAATGCTATCTGTAGTGACGCTGCTAGTGTTTGCTTAGAATGAATTGGTAATTGCTAAGAACATTTATTTTTATGAGATATTAATGCTATGGTAATGCTATCTCACTTCGGTCAGTTGCAATCACAGTGCGCGCTGATAACCTTGATCCCGAATGCGATACAACGGCTTCTTGCATAAGCAGTGAAATGGAAGCTCTCAGAGTTTTTTCTCAGAATCACTGTTAACGGCGTAGGTATCTTGTGTAACCATCAGTGATAACCGGTTAATAATAGGGCAAAATACTTGGGGGTGTGTGCCATTAAGGATGATATGATGCCGAATGAGCCGTTTCGGGTAACCGGAGCGAAGTCGTATGTGATGGTATACCTTTCTGGCTAACGTGTCTCACTCTCAGCGGTGCCGTATTGATCGTCAGTTGTTCAGTTAAACAGACAGCTGGTTTCAAGACATTGTTGGCGTTTAATAACCATACTTAGAATTAATCCCCTCAGGGTCCATTTCAGGTGTTTCTCTTTCGATTTGCATAAAACTTCGCATCGCTTGAGAGGCCACCCACTTCAGAAAACCCAGGGACTTGACTAATGATCATAATCAGTATCGAACATCACGCCATATGATCGTGTAGAAAAGCCCCTCGGCCTACCTTGCCAGAACCAAACAGCAGTAACGCCACTGCGTTTGCGGATGGAATGCATCAGCAGGATAACGACGATAATTCAGACAAAAAGGCTGCATCTGAATGCAACACAACTACAGTATCATGTTCACCCTTTGGTGTGTTTACCAGCATCGTACGATTCGGACGTTTACCCACCTCACACTCCGCAAATCATGCGTTCAAGGGAGATTATAATATAAATCTGTCTTCACTTTGCAGGTATTACAGCTTATTCAAATTCCGACTTTTGTGCGTTTTCGCATGCAACAACTGACCACAGGCTGTCAATCCGACTGACTAGGCTTACAGCATTGCAAAGTGACCTTCGTTTTGTGCTCGCGCTAACAATATGGGAACTGGAGTTCTCAACTTCTCCGTATGAACCAGGAGCGTCATATGCTACCAGAGTAGCATAGCAATTCCAAACAGGACAAGTTATGGAGCAGAAACCAGGATGTGGAGAACCTTTAACTTAGGCAACCAAATTCAATAAACATGATGACAGAAGGTGTTGTTACAGCTAAATGATTTTGAAGCTCGCTTTCCCGTTGCATTGGCTTTGTTTCTGAAACTGTCGACTGATTTCTTAAACCTCTCGGACGTTGTTCGTCGTGGCAAGGTGACCTCGCATAATTCCGGAGTAGTATATCCTGCCGTTAAAGAAAAGAAAAAATCGCCGAACCGACTGCTGTGCGTTTCATATTAGGTGAGGAGAATCTGGTCACAGGTCAGGGAAAACGCGGTCCAAGTGCAATTTTGATTTCATTTTGTCCTTCAGAAACACCGAGCAAAAGTTTTGTTGTACAACACCGCAAATGCAAAAGGCTACAACAGCCAAGTCTATTATCTTGGTTAAAACCCCATTTTCAGATATCTTATTTGTAAAACAACTGTATGCCGTCTAGTCGACTTAAGCAAGCCTGTGTGTGTTCCATACTCGGCAGAAGCAATAAATGGATACCATCAGTTGGCAATCGCTTTGCTTTTCTGAGAGACGATTTCCTATTTTCCGTTCTTTCCTCCGTTCTGATTGACAGTTGTAAAACCTGTTTAATCAAAAAGTCCACTCGAGATATAGGGGCCGCCCAAGAAGGGTACACCTTTTACTGATGCATGACCTATCTTCAAAACGCAGATGAAGTACACCGCTGATCTAAAACCTCATTCACAAAGTGTGGGCCTCCCACTTCATCGAAGGATATGCCGCAAACACTTGATGTTTACCTTCCGAATCATAGAAATTGCTAGCTGTCATCTTTGATGGTTGGAAAAACTTGGTATCTCCACAGCTTCGGCATGATTGGATAAACATTTCATTTTTCTCAGCTTCTTCGCCACACCCAACTTCAACGCTTTGACTCAGTTTGCGGGGGCGGGGGGAGGCAAACCGTCAGCGCTGCGTGTCTTACCTGTCGTCGTCAACACACAAGTCTTTCGCTGGTCTATACGACGCCCATTTCGGGAATCTCGATGGCTCTTTTGGCTTGTGTTTGTGTGTGTATGTGAGAGAGAATATTTGGTTACAAACTCCCTACCCTCTGTTGATGCCCTCTCACGTTCGACAGATAGAGAAGCGAAAGAATTACCTCAATCGTGCAGTCTGAACATATGGGTTGTTGAGAGCAAACTCGTAGAAGCAAGGAGGACGTTGAAAGACTGAGGAATTGGTCAAGCAGAAATAGGAAATCGCGATACTGAATACCCTCTGTTGATGCCCTCTCACGTTCGACAGATAGAGAAGCGAAAGAATTACCTCAATCGTGCAGTCTGAACATATGGGTTGTTGAGAGCAAACTCGTAGAAGCAAGGAGGACGTTGAAAGACTGAGGAATTGGTCAAGCAGAAATAGGAAATCGCGATACTGAATGTGGATAGCTTGCCACTGTGTGTGTGTGCGTGCGCGCGGAAGCCCACCTACTGGGTTTCACTTATGGGACCAACCGTGAAGGGGGTGTTTATAGTGGTGAGAGGTGCACTAAATACTTGTTTACGCATCAGGACAGCTGATGGACAGTAGCAAACTGATGCTATGATGCTTATGGGCTCCGGTAATGTGTCAACGGATTACCGTGAGAGGTTGCCTCAGCATCTTCTTAGCCCCTTCCGAAGCTGAATGCTTGTTGTACCAATGTTGAACTACTCAACCTTAACCTGGCCCTGGTTCGACATTACGTGGAAACCCACTGCAGACTCGAATTGTCAGTTTAATAATAAACCACGTTGCGATAAACTGCGGAGGCAACTGTTGGAAATATTTCCTCGTCATCGTACATTAGGCGTTATTAACAAAATAACTGCCTTCTGCCCACACTTCTTTATTTCCCTAGTTATTGTTTACTGCTCCATAGATGCGTAACGTGGTTCCCATTCAAGCAGTTCCTTGAATAGCCCAAAAACTATAAGCATAGCAATGTGCTTTTGGATGTGTTGCGAAGACAAAATGAGCAAAATGGAGTCTAATTTTATCACTTGCGTAGGTCTCACTTAGGCGCAGTACCTTAAAATCTTTCTCGAAAATCACATGATTTCGATAGTGGACCGAATGATATGACCGATATCGCTCAGAAGTTGAGATAGTTAGACGGACGAGCTTTTGCGTGGTCAAAACGCTGTGGATTTCAAGTGGATTGTGCCCGTGAGATGAGGTCTCATAACTTTTCCTGCTTTAATATTAACTGGATCCGCTAACCACCATTTCTATGCTGTAGAAAGTCTAAAATCTTGAGTTCCTTCTATCCATCTTATCAAGTCACAGAGAAGACAAATGTCATGATATGTTAAAGCTTCTTTCCTCGTCTTCAGCTGCAAACGTAAGCAACAAGTGTAAAGTAGATATTTATTGGCCTCGGGAATTGCCAGCAACCTGAGGTTCAGGTTTGCAACAACCTAGGACGCAGTTTGCAGTCTCAGTGCGATAGCCGGCATCAAGGGAAGGTCTCGCGATGGATGACTCAGTTTCGGCTTAACGTCCGACTCGTACTGTTTGATTGCATCAGCCAGGTCGGAGTGAGTTGTTCGGCTGTATGTCGTCTGTAAACTGAGAGAAATCTACTCCTCTCTGCTCCTTGGACCGCGGGATAAGTTTGTTCTGACTTTTTCTGGACCGCATTAAAGCGGACGGGATAGCAATTAGCCAACAAACTCCTCATACCACCTATCCACATTGCTCTGTAAACCAAGGTTTTTTCTAATGGATGCTGAAAACTCGTCGAAAGCACCTTGTGAGTAGTTTCCTCCATGAAAATATACTGCGATATCTCGAATATCGTGCCACCTGAAACATCGGGTGGCCTTTGTAAAGCACATTTGGTTGAAGAATATCATGAGTAAGAGATTCAGTTGAATCTCTCGTGTATTTTTCAAAAAAAAAACGTTTTTGCCGGTTCACGTGTATATGCATTCGGTTCAGAGCTAAAGTATTCTCAACTCCAACTAGTCTTGTGATAAACTTGACTCAGAAAACGTCTATCGACATGCTTACGTACAAAAAACTATTGTCATCTGACTGGCACTCGTACGCTTGTATAAAGGTTAGAAGAAGTTAATCAAAAATTTTAAAGAAGCTTTGGAAATGCCTATCGTTGGTAGCAGTAAAATGCCATCAACGTGAATTAGTGAAATGCACTCATTTACAGACAAATTTGGTTTTGCGAGAGACTCACTTGGAACCCAGCTGAATATCTCGCTTATCGTATTTCCCAGCAACTGAATGTGCTACATCCGGCCGCCTCATGTTTCAATTGGTACAATATTCGAGATATCGCGATACGTTTATATTTGTAATGCACTACTGTTAAGTTTGCTGAAAATTCTTCGACAGCCCACGACCGGTCTCGCCCTTTGTGGGGCTCATCAGGTAGGCCCAGTCCCCAAGGTTCCATCAACCTTATGTTTTACTTGAAACCAAATTGCACGAACTTAGCGAAATACACTCATTTACAAACAAATTTGGTTTTTGGGGATGCTCACCTGGAACCTAGCTGAATATCTCGTTCGTGATGTTTCCAGGCAACTGAATGTGCTGTACCAGACCGCCTCATGTTTCAACTGCCACGTCACATTTGAGGTATTCAGCTGGGTTCCAGGTCGGCAACGTGAAGTTCGCATTGTGAAGCTTGAATGTCACGTATTCACCATCCAAACATTCCTAGAGAAAAGACATCCCAGTGGGCTCCCTAAAGCAGCACCGTCAGTCTGTCCATAGGCTTATCCTTAAAATTCAAACCGTGTTATAGTCACTTTTCCGTTTGCCATCCCTTAATCTTGTGACAACCGTTCTTGCATACACCACGTGACCACATGTATGCACGCACATAAGTAGACGCCATCCAACCTATCAAAGTGAAGTAGCTCGGTGTGTCTGGAAAAAAAAGCAGCAACCGCAGGTAAATTATGATCCGTTTTTTCTTTTTTCCCCTCTCAGTCCTATTCAGCATTCCTGAATGATCTATGTTAGAAAATGTTGAAATGCGGCAGATGTCACAACTGTTGCAGCGATGTGGTTGTTCAGACCGCAATTTATAGCGTGACTCTGAACAGAATTAACTGTCAGTCAGCGGATATTAGCACGGAAAATAGACGATGAGGTAGAACTCCAAACTGATTGCCGTGTAAAAGCTGGATGCTGGATACGACAAATTTGGCACAAATCGGTACGAATAGCTAGAAATATAAGATGAGTTTCACTGTGGCAAGTCGGAACCGGAAATTGTTGTTGATTGTCGGTGAAGAGTTTGATGAGCGTCCAAGTCAATGGCGTCTCCTGTTTTGCAATGCTCAAGATATCTTGTTTGTTCAGCACGCGTTATTCTGATACAGCACCAAGTGATGGTGCAGCGTACTTTGATGGCTGTAACCTTGGAAAATGCTCTGGTACTATATCCCAACCGAGCAAAATGTTAGAATACATCGTATTATGACAAAAATTGAGCCTAGTCACTCCCGATCACTTACCACAGCCTTTTTATCTAGCGGAATGGGCCATGTGTTGGCCAGTTTCGTAGGTACTGTATTTTGTGCCTTTGTGCAGGCAAAATGACGTCACAGAACATACCACACAGGATTGTTGCATGGCGTTCGGTGATCTTGGAGCAGACTGGTGTTTTCGAATTGTGGAAGGTTTGCAGCCACACAGGAAACTCCTGAGCCTGGAAAATTGGTGAGACTTCATTTTTACGACCCCTGAAGCTCACTGCGTTTTCAAAATGAAAAATTCATTCATTCAACTCCTCAAGGTTTGTGTTACAAAAATCCTGAAAATTTCCGGTTTGATGATTCACCACTACTTCCCGAAAAAATTCACATAATCCGCATAGTTCCTGGATTGCACGGACGTTAGTTGCATGTTCAAAAGAGCGTGTCTTGCTTGGCTTCCTTGCTTTATAACGCCAGTTAATGTGCACTTTTAATTTACGACCCTTAGGATGTACCAAATCTATCATATTACATGCTTCAGTCGACCTGTTCCATCCCGGGGGGTACTGTATAATTTCCTACTCATCAGCGATTGCACATACGTTTCCTTGGATATGTAGGCCTGAGCGGAGGGTGTTACAATTGTTTCAACTAAGTTTTACTTTCTTTCAGGTTCGTGTGCCATTTAGACACTAACAAATGACGTGAATTTATTGCATCTAAGGTCCGTTTGGCACAGTGGATTACTTTCGGCCCATGTGTTTCCCCAGTCCGTGGCGCCAATGGAAAGTCAAGTTAGGAAGGACGACGAGAGAACCCATTGCAACTTGAGTTAAATTGATCTACAGGGTACAACTTGTTTTCTCCGAAGTTTTATTTAGGCGTTCTTATCAGCCTTGACAACATTATAGGTTTAATAAGGTATCATTTCTGATAGCACCTTGAAAGTGCTACCCACCGGCCTGCTCGTATCGTTCTTAAGTGGCGTATGTGGGTGGATAGTGCGAGAGCTGTATTAGGTTATATTGGTGTCTATTGTAAAACACATGGAGAGGTCCATTGTGTTGAAGCCGGTCTTCGAGTATTCTCACTCGCGCCGTTGCTGTGTACATTTTACAATGGATTTCTGGAGGGGACAAGGAGAGATTCACTTGTTCGATGTCATCCTGCTCCGTCCGATCCTAACTGTCTGATTTGATCCACATCTTTCTTTTCCCAGCCGAAGGACAATACCTATCCTTAGTACCAGTTGCTGGAAATGGCGCACAATCTGAACGGTCTGTCTTTAGAGGTGCACTTGACTGAGTGTTGTCTGGAACAATCACCCACCTAACTCAGGTCGCTGGAATAGTTAGGTGCTTTTCTACCTCGCCGGTTAGATGCACAGTGGTCCACTCAAGCATATCAGCAGCCTAACCAACAGAAGCCGTATGTGCACTGTGCACCAGATAAACAAAAACTTTTCCGTTTGCCATGGGCAAACCGTTTTATGTGATACTCTGAAACAGCAGTGGAGAGGCGAAAGAAACCAATGCTCAACGGATGATGGCTTCTTGAGTCTATGGCTGAAACTACCATTACCTGGCCTTGCTGCTTTCGCATCACTTTTGATGATGAACGGATACGGAAGAATACAAGTTACGTTGTTATACTCTCACAAGATTCCACCATTCGTTGTTCCTTGATATCCCCTTGAATGAGCGTGACCAAACACAATGGTCTGGTAATCGAAACTAGAATCTACGTGGTCATTTTAACTAACTTCAATTTCCAAAAGTCAGCAGCGTCTTCCGTGATCAAGCTGCGATAAAGAGAAACTAAAGTTGCCGAAACAAATGGAACGGCTGTCAAAGACTAATCTAGCGTACAGCATCATGAGTTGTCACCTGAAGATTTCTTCATTTAGAACATCACAAACTGGGTTCCAGATGAGTCTCTCGAAAAGCCAAATTAGTTTGCAAATGAGTGTAAATTCGCGAATTCATAAATTAGTTTGCAAATGAGTGTAAATTCGCGAATTTCTTCATGTAGTTTTTTTAACACAAGCTAACGACAGCTATTAATCCCTAGAGCTTCAGATTGTCCATGGTCGCAGTTTTTTGCATTCTATTTTCTTTATTCAGGTGAGATGGTTTTTGATGATTATCGATACGCGTCAACAGTGTACTGACTCTAAAGGGGGACGTCGGGAAGAAGTCGCATTGGCTCGTTACCTCCATACAACAGCATGCTGGTAATTCGTTGGCCATGTCAATAGCACACCATCTGTCAGAATAAATTTACTTTCATGCATACATAATTTTACAGGGGATAGCTAACTTTCTCACCTTTTTTACGACAAACTGTGAGGTTTTTCTGTCTGTTTCGGAAGCGTATCATGCTTAGATGTAACTCACTACTCATAAGGCTACTCAAAACTCCGACACTGATGACTAATATTGGAAACGAAGATTCGGTCTAGTCCGCCAAGAAAACCAAATTAATTCGCAAGTGAGTGTATTTCGCGAATAAATTACGCTCCTTTCGGACTGTTGTGAAATTCCCTCTTCAATCTGTTTTTTTGGTCCGACCTATTGTTTCTACCCCCTGGCAACTGGAATATGCCACGGCGGAGTTTTTAAAACGCAAAGAAACTTTTGTCATTTCTATCAAATTTCAAGATTGCGGCGTTTCGGAAAAATCGGGTAGACGTGAATTTCGCCGGCAAATTTCATGAATTTTGTAAATGTTTTCGAAAAATTTTGGCCTGTCATTCACTTCCAGAATGTATGCTTCCAGAATATAATTGAGCAATTTCTCTTCATGGGGTTTCAAATGGCTTGAGGCATTCAGTTGTAAAGATTGTTCGGTGTATATGTGATAGATTCACGTCCGCAACGAATGTTGTTCCACATGTGGTATCCAAGTTGGTATCCAAATCCTTTGTTGGTGTGCACATGGATGGACAAATTCATTAGCTTCTCCAGCTTCTCTACGGCAATTTGACCCCTTGCTGCGAAATTGTCGTCTGAAAGTGACTTGCCCGCAAAGTATGGCTCAAATGTCACGGAAGGAGTATGGCCAGGGGCTTACTAGCTTTTTTTGAAACGTACTTAAATTATTCCCTGTTACCATGTGGATTAAACACGTCCAGGGGGTTGTGTAACAAACTATTAACTTCTTTGAATTCAATCTGACACCGTTTTAAATGGGCGTTAAACTGTGAAGGTTTCATCCGCTATCTTCTCCGGTTCAAAGAATTGTTTTTTTGTTTCATCCCTTCGTCAGCCTACTATAATTCAGAAAGTCAGAGGATAGTCATTCTATCTGAACGAAACTCACCAGGACGGTGGTCACCCTTGATCAAACAGAAGTCGATCTCAGTAGTTTTCTTTCAATTCGATATCCAGTGCCGTGCACCACAAATTGGAATTACTCTTAACTTGCCTGAAAAATTCATTCATTCAACAACATTCAACCTTCATTCAACAGCATATCTGAGGCATTCCTTTTTTAACGGTTCCCTGATCTTCCGAAACCTGCAGGCTGTTGTGCCATTTGTTCTATGCCTCCCGACACCTGCATTACACTCTAGAGCCCAATATGTCGCACGCCCCAATGTTTCACTCAGCCTCAGAGACAAGATTCGTCACATGGAAACTGCTGTCGTCATCCATACTCCATTTAACTGACAAAGCCGATGAATGTGTGAATGCGTTGAATTTGCAGACACTTGATCGAGGCTAAAAGCCACCACATGGAATGTGGGATCAGCGCCAGAGCAGGTAAACGTGTCGTAATTTCGGAGTAATTTTCACTGAATACGATCACCAAGTGATGGTGAAACGTGTAACTTCTTCCGGAAGCACTTGAGTCGGCTTATTTGCATCGGTCTATAGAAACAAACTCAGGGAGGCCTTTTCGATTCCGTAAAGTTGTGGGATACAGAAATCTTCCCCACAGAAGATCTCAGTGGACTTCATCGTCACCTGGCTAACGTGATCAACAGCGATATTTAAGCCCTATTGACCCGCAAGAGGTTCACCAAAGTCTATCTGTAAAGTGAATACAAAGCTGTGTCAGCTGAAGTGACTGTCACGAAAGTGGATGATGTAAGATTTAGTTGAAAACGAATAGAGAAGGCTGGAGGTTGTGGTTTCAGGACAATAATGCCAGTTTACTCAGATCACTGTAAACAAAGTTAGCGCTGTATGACCAACCAGCTTTTCTCACGCTACTAGTTGCTGAAGCTACTCTCGCACCATATTTAACGGAAACACATGCCCTTATTTTCGAGAAATACACTCATTTGCAAATCAATTTGGTTTTCACAAGAGACCCAACTGAATCTCTCGTTTATGATATCTTACAACTGAAAGTGCTGCACACAGGCCGCCTCATGTTTCAGTTGGCACGATATTTGAGATATCGCAGTATATTTTCATAAAAGAAACTACTCAGAAACAAGAGATTCAGTTGAGTCTCTCGTGAAAACCAAATTGATTTGCAAATGAGTGTATTTCTCGAAAATAAGGGCATGTGTTTCCGTTAAATATGGTGCGAGAGTAGCTTCAGCAACTAGTAGCGTGAGAAAAGCTGGTTGGTCATACAGCGCTAACTTTGTTTACAGTGATCTGAGTAAACTGGCATTATTGTCCTGAAACCACAACCTCCAGCCTTCTCTATTCGTTTTCAACTAAATCTTACATCATCCACTTTCGTGACAGTCACTTCAGCTGACACAGCTTTGTATTCACTTTACAGATAGACTTTGGT